TTTTTTTTGAATAATATTGTTATAACTGTAGTAATTTCATCGATGCTGGGGTTCAAACTCAATGCCTTGTCCATGCTAGGAAAGCCCTGTGCCCCGCTCTGTGTATCCCCAGCCTGCCATACAATTGTAAATATAATAATTCAGAGTTTTGTTAAAATAGGCTACCCTGATACATCTGTCTCAAAAATTTTTTTTAAAAGCTTTAAAATAAGGCAGCATTGCGAAGTGCTAGTGACACATGCCTCAGTATTGTACTTTCTTTATATGTCATTTCCATGCTAATAGGATCAGTTACAGTGTTTTCTTTTCTGACTCATTTACTGAGTGTAGACCAGGAGAACTGTACATTATTTTATGAATAGGTTCATGAGAGAGAATTATCTTCTCCATGAGATAGCAAGCCCTTTACCATTGAAAAGAACTATTATATTGAAAGCTTTGATATTTTGTGCTGGCAGTGGCTGGCCTTGAAAGAGAGCCGTTTAAGTTTTCCATTCCCAAAGAGTCTGAACCATAAAAGGTATTGCTGAGTATGAACATAGAGTGCATTTGAAGTTGATAATCATAGTGGTTTTATAACACTTTTTATCTGGTAAATGCTCTCGGAATATCCACTTAAGAAGCTGTTGTGTCTGTGGGAAATTAGGACCTTATCTGCTGTGTTTTGATTTACTGTTCTTTGCCAGTGATCCTGGCTTCTTTTTAGGTTTGAATACAAAAAAGAATTAAAAAATTGATTTGTTTGGCCCTGTTTAAATTTTCAAGGATAAAACCAAACAAAACACTCCTGCTTCTTCTTTTAAATGTATAGGCTAGGCTCAGAATCCCTGGATTCTGCTCTAAATGTACTAGCTCGAGCATTGGAGAACAACAAAGACAATCCAGAAATTTGGTGCCATTACCTCAGATTGTTCTCAAAAAGAGGAACCAAGGAAGAGGTGCAGGAAATGAGTGAAACAGCTGTTGAATATGCTCCTGATTATCAAACCTTTTGGACTGTGAGTAGAAAAGATAACATAGTTGTGGGGTGTGTATGTTTGTAATTCTTTGAGACATCTTAAATGTTGATACATGGCATAATAGATTATGTGCTTTATGAGGATATAGATAAAATTTTTTCTCACTTTCTAGTAACCTTAAAGACACTTCTGAGTCAGGATTAATTTAAACAAGAAAATGTTTGATGAATGAGTGATTTTTGTTGTTAACTTTATTGATGAGGAAAAATATAATTATTGAATATTTTATACTTACCTATTACACAGTTTTTGGGTAGAATTTAGTTTTCCAATCCATATGAACATGTTTTTCTTTTAAATTGCTTTGAATCCTTTTATTGTTTTCATTTCTTACAGAAATGTGCCAAAGCTCTAATTCACACTGATACTACCTTGCCATAGTACTAAGATTTAGTACAAAGACGGGTATTCCCACTTTCTCTTAGACAATGGGATTTTTCTTATCCAGTCTTAAAATAATAAGTGATTCACTTACAAAGTAAAACAGTTTTATATCTTAACTTTTATCAGCTGTACTAGGGAACCAGTTGATTATATGTGATCATTAGTAGATTCACATGAATTTTCAGATAAATCTATCATCTCAGAAATTTTTATTTTTCAAATGTGCTGTAAGTCAAAAGCAGGACTCTGTGAATACTGAGCACATGCTTTGCTACTGAAATACATCCCCAGCCTCATTAAGTACATTACAGTATCAAGTTTGTTTTTGTTTAAGATGTCTTGCTACATTGCCCAAGCTGGCCTCAGACTCCTGGGCTTAAGCAGTAGCCCCTTGAATAGCTGGGACTGCTGGTATGCCTCCCTGGACTCCAGATCTGTTATTTCCTCTTTAACTTAAAAGAGAAAAAAATTCCCAACTAAAATTGAAAACTACATAGGTTTGAATAACTTAGGTACTGAACAGATTTAGGTAGCAAAGAGTGCCTCATGTTTGACCTGTAGACTTGTGCCACTGTCGATATTATTTTTCACTAGAGGATTTTATAGGGTATAGAATATTCAAAAAAATGTAAAGCGTTTCCGTGAAGTTGTTTGGCCTTGAATGTGTTTTGCCATATGTTTTTAATGTGGACGCTATTGTCAAAATTTTTATACAGTCACACACCTAAGCCGTGCAGATTATATGTGATCATGCCTATGTAAACTTTTGCATATATACCATGGCCTTGTTGCAGCTTACCTGTTGATTCTGTAAAAGGAGAGATGAAGTTGCTTCAGTGATGATTCTGTGAATACATTTGTATCATTTTAGTTTTCATGTAGCTTTAGCTGCAACATTGTGATAGAAGGAAAAATCAAGGTTGTAATGTTAGAAGATGGTTGAACAGTGTATATGTTTTTACAGTTATCCTTTACAGAAATTTGATGAGATATTTTCTTTATTAAAAGTCTGTAGTTTTAGTTTATACCTATAAAGCAGTACTGACTATATAAAACCCCTGTGGGCAGTTCCTACATCTAGAGAGCACCTTTGAAGAAAAAGATTATGTTTGTGAGAGAATGGTGGAGTTTCTGATGAGAGCAGCCAAGCGGGAGACGTCAGATGTTCTGTCCTTTCAGCTCTTAGAGGCCCTTTTGTTTAGGGTTCAGCTGCACATATTTACTGGAAGAGGCCAAAGTGCACTTGCAATTTTACAGGTAAACAGCTATTTTAGTATAATATTTCATTTTGCAGAAAAATTGTTAAAAATCTGTATAAATTGTTAAATGTGTAATGATAAGATTATTGCTTTGGATTTGAATTTTGTTTTGCCACTTCTTGGTAACGTGAGTGACTTAGGATGAGTCTGTTTCCTCACTATTTGGTGCAGATAATATCTCTAGGGTTTTTTTTTTTTTTAAACGTTTAATTAGAAAGATTTATGTTAAGCACCTACCAGATTAAACTTCAAATTCAAGTACAATAGGAAAAAAAATTCAGATCATAAGGAAAGTATCTGTATGGCTATAGGTTTTTTGAGTGTGCTTTTACTATTTTTTTTTCTCTTATTTTAAGTATGAAGACAGTGAAAACACATGAATAAATTTAATCTTTTTTTTATTAACTATGTCAGGGGCTGGGGAGATAGCTTAGCAGCATAAGCATCTGCCTGTCAGTTGCAAGGTCCTGAGTTCAGTCCCTGGCACAAAAAAAAAAAAAAAAAAATCAAGTTTTATTAACTGTTTCAAACTTCAAGGCAGTGAAAATTATGTTAATCTGGTGTTGACCTTTCTAAGGAGAATTTTCATTAAAAAATTGGCACCTATCAAAGTTTTTGCTTAGATATTTAAGAACTACTTCAAAGAAATGTAAGTTATATTCCTTACATTTGAATTTTGTCAATATGGGTCATTAAAAAAACACACTATTTTTTCATTTTATCTAGAATGCATTAAAATTGGCTAATGATGAAATAGTAGCTGAATACCTTAAAACAAGTGATCGATGTTTGGCCTGGATGGCCTACATACATCTTACTGAGTTCAGCATTCTCCCTCCAAAATTCTATGATCCATCTAATGCTAATCCTTCAAGAATTGTTAACACGGAGCCATTTGTAATGCCTTGGCAAGCAGTTCAAGATGTGAAGACTAATCCAGACCTATTATTAGCAGTTTTTGAAGGTAAGCATGCATGTTTATAAATTATAACATCAACTGTCATAATAGTATTTAGAATATAAATATACTCATTGCGATTCTTCATAATTAAATGCAATAAATGCTATTTATTACAAGTAAGAATTTCATAGTTTATTGTATAAATGCCTTAAAAAGAATTGAATCACAATATAGGCATAGTCTACTATGAAAACCAGAAACTACTGTATTACATAATTTATCTGATTATTTAAGGGATCAAAAATATGGTTTTTAAATATATGCATGTATATTTGTGAAATATATTACATTAAAAAGCATTGACATTAATTCTCAAATACTCCCCCTCACTCTGAATACACTTGCTTTGATTTTTTGCCACTTTCTCAAGTAGCTCAGAAGATCCTGTGCTGTTGTGGCTGCCTGAATGTCCTCAACCAGCTCACAGTGTTTCCCTTTCATAGTCAGTTTTCCTTTGGGGTACAGCTAGAAGTTGTATGGTGTCTGGTGGAAAAGGTGAATAGAGACACCTCATAATGTTTCATCCACATGCCTTTCCATTGGATGGCACTCCCTGTCATTCATTATATA